ACCCAAATATCGGTATTGGTAATTTAACCGATAAAAGCCCGAAATTTAATTTTGGGGACTTGTAAATTAAAGTTGGGGAAGGTATATTCATTATAAGGGTAATAATGATTGAGAACACATAATATATTTTATTTGACCCGGTAAAATAAAATATATCTAAAACTGTCCGAAAAAATACAACTTTCGGGAACGATTGTACACTTCTGGACAAAAAGGGTTGACCTCCCACATGGGTGGGGGCCAACCCACAAATTTGGCCTCATTTTTCAACACATTGGCCGGCTGGTGTGATAGAATAAACATGAGTGATGTGGGTGAAGTGAAGGAAGAAACATCAAACAAATGGGATGGGGCCTCATCCTTACCCATTGATCAATGAGACAAAAGACAACCCCAAACCCCCCTCTTCCCTCATTTTCGGCCAGCATCCATCCAGAAAGAGCAAGGAAGCTCTCAAACCTATTCTCCATTGTTGAAGTAAACTCTACAAGAAAGAATCTCAAGAAAAGGAGCTAAAGTGCTAAAAGTGTGAAAGGATTAAGGTAATAATCTTATCATAATTTTTTCCTTTATTTTTTTTCTTCTACCATATGAGGTATATATCATATGAATAACCTTTAGGATTGTTTCACATGATTTAAATGTAGAATGATGGGTTGGAAGGTGGTTCTATGTCCAAAAACGGACATAGAAGCCAAAACGACCGGTTTGCCGGAAAATGACCTTTTAGAGGTTATTTGTATTGATTAAGGTTTTATGATGTTAAAACCTTGTTAGGAACTTGATTTAAGTATTTTTGAGCTTCGCTGGAGTTTCGCCGGAGTGGGTCAAAGTTCGCCAGAGTTGGTCAAAGTTCGCCGGAATTAGTCAAAGTTCAATCGGGGAGCGTAGAACGCGCTTAAGCTCACTTAAGGTGAGGATGACCGACTATGTTACTTATAATCTTTGGGTTAATTTCATGAGATTTCCTAAATGAATACAAAATGTGAATTGCATGGGTTATTAGTGACTAATAATGCCTAAATGAAATTACTATTGCTTATAAGTATAGTTTGTATAATATACAAATTTATGAATAAATTGTGTATGTTTATATGTTATGAATATGATGGTATGATTGTAGTATCAACCATAAATCTCATTTGTGATAAGTATGCTTTTATTTCATGAGAAGAAGCCATGAAAGTATAAAAGTGATATTTTGATATTAAGGCCAAATTACACATAAATGAAGAATTATATTGAAATGAGTAAATAACTAGTATTGAAATATTAGTTGGAATTGTAGTTGAATAATGGATGAATGGATCCTAAGAAATTGAATAGTAAAGAATCGGTGATTATTGAGCTGAGCTCTAGACCGATGTAGATAATGGTGATTATTGAGCTGGGCTTTAGACCGTAGTAGATATTGGTGATTATTGAGCTGGGCTCTAGACCGATGTAGATGACGGTGATTATTGAGTTGGGCTCTAGACCGTAATAGGTAACGGTGATTATTGAACTGGGCTCTAGACCGTAGTAGATAACGGTGATTATTGAGTTGGGCTCTAGACTGTGGTAAATAACGATGAATTGACACTAAACGAACAAAGTTAACTATGATATGATAATACCCTGGTTTGAGGGTCTTGAAAATTGAAACATTGATTATACTTAGTATAGTTGTCATTGTACTTGTCAAATGCTTCCAAGTACTGACCTCCCCTTCACGGGAGAGGCCACCTCACAGTTTCAGGTAGGAGCTGAACTTGCTACCAGTGCCCGTTGCTCCGGGAGAATTCAAAGAAGGAAGACGTGGTTCGTGCTTCCTCCGTTCCTGTTTTAAAACATTTAAATTAATGCTCATGGATATTATTTTCTGAATAACTATTTGAGGGCTTGTATACCCATGTTTTGCCAAGTGTGGCTTGAACACTTGTTATAATAATTCCGCTGCTTTAATGAATATTTTACATTATGTTTGTTTATGGATGTACTATGTGTGAATGATTTTCCAGACGCCTTGTATAGTATGGATGTGTTGGACTGCGGTTGACCATTCGTACTGTACTGCGGATTGTTGACGTGTTCGGGTAGGTCCGGGGCGTGACAGAATACATGAAAGTAACTAAAACATTAGAGAAAGGGGGAAACAATGAAACAACATTAAATGTTTGGATAATATTTCTCTGTCTTTAATAGCATTAAATACTAAGAATTGGATTTTCTGAATCTTGTATGAATATGAAGCTACAGAGTTATGTGTAAAAAACAAATTGAGGTGTGGAGTGAAAGAGAGGGAGCAAGAAAATTATGAAAGGGAAAGAAGGGTGAGTAAAGGAAGAAGAACCCTTGCTAGTGTTTTACCATGCTCAAGTTAAAGGCCTTTTCCCCTTCACAAAAAAACATTGACGCCAAAGCTCTAGCTTTGGTGCGAATCTAGGGATGGCCATGAGGCTGATAAGAAAAAAACTAAAAAGGATGGGGTAGCAGTAATTCCAATAAAGATCTCAAAAAACAAACATATGTGGTACACATTACTATTCAAAGTAGTAGACAAAATAAAGTGTACACCCAACATATTATGGTAACCAAGAATTAAAAAAAGAAAGTAAAACACAATCACATTTCTGGTAGATCTTCTCATCTCCCTCATATCATCTCCCCTGCGAATGAAACAAAAAAATATATAACAATGAAACATGAACTGAACCTCAAGTAATTTTAAACTTTGATGAAACAAAATATATTTTATTAAAATATAAAATATAATGAAATACGCGGTCATAATATTTGGATATTAAACTAAGTAAAAAATGCTTAATATGAATGGTTGTTATTACATAGATAGAAACTAATATCCCATGTAAAACTTAATTTCATGTAAAAAAAAATTGTAAGTCATTCAAATAAGTAATTTTAATTTAATATGAATCAATTGATAATTGCAGAGAACAACATCAAGTGCTGTAATAAAAATGGTCCTTGCAATTGTAATTCAAAATTTAATTCCATATGAAAAGGGTTCCTATTAAACGAATAGCAAAAACATTGTGCTTAAAATTATATGATGACAGGGGCGGAGCCAGACTTTTGTATTGAGGGGGGCGAGAATATAATACAAGTATTAGCATATAAACTAGTTAACTACACACAAATACACAGTCTTTAATAGTTTATATAACTAATATAAGTATTAATAAATTCTTATTAATTAATAATAATAATTCAATTTCACTACAGGTCGAGCTAGTTATTATTTTTTTTCATTTCATTACTTATTAAATTAATTGATAACTTATAAACAAAATTAACCAATTATTGGATCAAATGAGAGCAAAAAATGCAAAATCATATACTGATATACTCGTATGAGATGAAGAGTAGTGAATAAATGAGCTCACATATACTTATTTTATACTTGGCTAAACTATAGGAGAAAACTCGTTGGTAGGAATTTAAATTTATGAAGAAGAAAAAGAATCCAGAGCAATAGAGATTTATTGAGTAAACCTCGACTGCTTGAAACCTAGTCAATTTTGTTTATGCAATTCACGGATTAGAGTGCGGTGAATCACTGAATTGGTATTTGTTAATAAATGATACTCCGTAATATAAAACAAATGAAAATAGTATATTATTCCAAAATTGAGTAAAATACATGAACAGATTCGAACCGGACTTTGCAAACTTGAGATGAGCAAAATTAATATGGAAATTAATATAAGTTGTATTCAAAGTAAAAACTCATATATGATGGATTTTTTATGTCAAATATATGTCTAGTAAATAACAGCCATCTTGAACATAATATTTGGATATTAAACTAAGAAAAAGAGTCTTTGTCATTTATATAATTCAATCTCTTACATATTACATCCCATGTAGTCTCCCGAAACAGATGGGAGTAATGTCGGTGTCCCAGTCACACCAAGCTCAGCTCGCCTCTCTCATATAGTCACGTATTGGACATGTCGGTGTCCCTGTAACTGCTCTCCCATGGACCTCTAACCCAGTCAATACAGTTACATATCCCAATGTCACTGTCACCTCACCAACAGTGAGGTGAAATGTGTGTGTCTCCTGCCTCCAACGCTCAAGAAGAGCAGTGAGTAGCGCTCTATTAAGAGGGACAGTAGCCACCAATCTATGAAGTTCATAAAAACCTGCAGCCCTAACATATGCTAGTACTCTGTCATCCACTTGCACGTGGGACAAACCACGGAGGTGCTCTCGACACCTATCCACCTGCACGTCGAGGACATGCAAAATCAAAATATATTTTTACCATTTTGGAAAAAAAGATCCAGGAAATTTTAACCTGAAAGGGCATGCTCTTACCAGGTAGTTTAGGTAGGGATAAAATCTCTTCTCTGTCTTTACATGCTCTCACAGGGTTGCTGAAAACAAAGCCAATATCAATTACGCACTGCATCGTAAAGAATACGATAACGCACTTACATATATCGCCAAACCTCTTTTGCAACCACAAACTACCGTGGCAAACTTAGAAAGTGCACTGACTGAGGTTTGAGTCATTACTGATTTCCAACTTTTCAGTGTGAAGTTATTCTGACATGGTAGTAAACAATGTTTTCACTTCTTCAAATACACAGGTTCTTGTTGTATGGGTGTATGGTAAGTTTCACTTGGCAGATACTTCTGAAGAAGGGTACTACATTGGTTGCGACTACTGCAACCGCAGAGTTCATGGAATCGAAGGTGCCAATTTCCAATGCTTATTCTGCGGGCAAATAAATGGGACTACTGTTAAAAGGTATGCGAGCAGCTTGACATGCAACATACTTCTTCACGTCTTGTCTGGTACTAACTTTGGATTCATACAGATTCAGACTTAACGCTTCACTTACCGATGGAACCAGCACCATTCTTGTCACCCTTTTCACCAGTGACGTGCTGCAGCTATTTCAATTCGTATGCATGGATGCAACTACCGACATGGATCTGGATTTGTTCGATGCCAAAATACAAAAGATAAGTGTTCTTGCTGGGGTCAAGCGAACCAAACCTAACGAAGAGGGACTACAGGGCAATCCGTACACCATTGTATGCGTCTCCAAACAGAATGAAGCCCCCCCAGAACTCAATTCAACACAGACTGAAACCCCCCCTGACTCCGCAGTTGTTGACCCTGCACCACTTGAAACTTCTGCTGAGCCATCGATCCTTTCAAAGAGGAAACTGAGCTTGAAGCCCCTTAGTGAACTACCAGCTGCAACTCCTTCCTCATCTGCGAATACTGCTGCGCACAAGGACAATGTTGCGGAACAGCCACTTGCAAACCTACGCCCCAAAAAGCACAAGCCCAGCACTACTTAGTTTGCAGGTTGCACACATTTTTTGCTATGGTGGATTCGCGAGTGCATTCTTCTAGCGGGGATTATATATGACTATGCACAACCTACATTCTTCCTATGCCACCTTTTTTGCTGTCCAGCACGATGTATAATTAGCGGAAAGTCGTAGTACTCACGGCATTTTACTTGCCGCTTAATTACCCATATGTGTGTGAATGCTCCCTGTATTATATCTTCAGCTACTTTTGCGTGTATGTTAATATTAATAAGCAACACATCTTGTAAATGTTAAGCACCTTGGCTTGCCAGTTGTTGGGAATGTATATATGCCTGTCTTTGTATTTCACAAACACTTTTTTAGCCTCCTTAATTGCTCACACGCATCAACGACCAATCAGAAAAGTGTTGCCGCCCTTGCCTATCCTCGGCTTAATCCAAAACGCCCTTGCCTATCCTCGGCTACGGACTAGAAAAACCAATCCATCAACACAAAACTTTAGAATAACCTGTTATATTAGCATTTATAAGTAAAATAACAGGTTATTCGCTTCATAGCAGTGAATCTGTTCCATATGATAGAAATAATGCTCTTTTGTAATAGTTTGTAATAGAACGAAATTTTAATGCATATTTTAATGTATCAAAGTCCATAAATTTAGTCGTATGGGATTTTGATGGATGTGTTTATTATTTTGTAAACATCCCTTGGTCAATATGTTTGTTTAATCTTTCCATATTCACTCCACTGTGTGGATATCACAGGTCATGTTATCCTCTTCTACCTGCAACATAGAGTAACTTTTGATTCCTTCTGCCTTGATTTTTCACATCCCGGTGTTCTATGCCGCCTTTCTTTTCAGGTCACCAAATGTAAACATGAATATCACCTGCAATGTATACTCGAGTGATATCCTGCATCATTAATATCTTAATTTGTTTTTAGGTCTATTTACTCCCTATCTATACTGAGCATCTCTTGTTTCTGTTCAGGTCTCAGAGAAGCCAAGAATGTCCTATTTGTTCAAGGAAAGTTGTACTAGAAGAGCCTGCAAGGTACTCAAATTTTTTGCATCCAAATCAATCACTCAAGCTGTGATTAAAACAGAGAAACCTCTTGATTTGAACCCTCTCTCCTTGTAGTCTGACTTCTATCTTTACTCTTTTCGTTATCCAGCCAAGATCTGTTGGTTGTAATGGAGAGTGAAAATAATGCAAGGTCAAGGTACAGTTTGCACTATGCCCCTGAAATTCATGAAAGTGGCAGTATGGATTATGCGGTAAGAATTTGTAGAATCAACTATACCTGTTTTTCTAAAGCTTTACGCTGCATTTTAATTTCCAACTGTGAGTTATGGTTTCTTTACATAGGATGGTTCTGATTTTGAAGAGAGGATAATGCGACGTTTTGCTGCACTTACCAGCAAAGCTCGATCCATTAGTAGAATGATAAGAATGACGTCTTCAGGGGTGGTTCTTCCTTCTACACCCACTGAAGCTGGTTCTCATCTGCATCACATAACAGACTACCCAGAAGAGTCTCAAGGAAGAGTTCATGAATTTCTTGGGAGTGGTCTACCTCCTTCTAGAACAACATCTGGCCAAACCACATCATTGTCAACCTTTTCATCTTTATCAAATGTAGCCCCTGCTCCTGCAACAGGTGGAGATGATTCAACTAATCAATGGTATATGCTGCACCATCTGTTCTTCTGCAAGTAACTGTTTTATCAAAGCAAGAGATGCCTTTTGACTGTTGATACTTACAACTTGCTTTCATACCCTATATTTGCTTTCATCTTCTCAACTTCTGTGAATGGTTTTTCTTTTCATGCTTTCTGCCTTGGCTACCACTTTTTCTAACTAATTTTTAAACAAATTCAGTGAGTCTCCTGAGAGTCCTCAAAGGTCAAGTTCATCTGAGTTGCTTGCATTCTCAGAGTCCATAAAATATAAACTCTCTGCTGCTTCATCCAGGTACGGAGTTCAGTTTAGCCCCCCTCTCCCACATCCTTTTCAATCCATCAGTCCCTAAAGAACTAAACAGTTGTGCACTTTAAAATGTGTTTTTGTCCTGGACAAAAGTTTTTTGTGGACAAAAGATGAAAAGACAATAATTTTTGCAAGATTAAATGACATTTTTCTATAAAAAGTACTCCAAAAAAACTTATATTACCTGCGTTGTTATTTAGTTGCAACACTTGAATTTCATATTTGCCGAGGATAGGCTGCTTACATGCTTGCATTTGGCAGTCCTAATTATCTTAGAACATGCTATGCCTTATGCCTATAGCATTTTTACAAGTTACCTACAGCTTTTCACTATATCTTGCTACTTCACTGCCTCCTTTTATCTTTTTTTTGTTCTTATGTTATTTTTCTCTTCTAGCTTTGTAATCCTCTTTTATCTTTCTTATATTCTTATGCTATTGTTATCTTACATTTATTTATCTCTATCATTTTTTGTTCTTGTCTGTCTTCTCTTTTTGACATCCATACCATGGATCGATTCATGTTAACCGACACCAAAATCTTTTGGGAATAAGGCTTTTATGTTGTTGTTATTGTTGTATTTCTTTTAGCACTTTCTTAGTAGAAAGTTTTAAATTGGATTCTAAATAGAATGTTTTAAATTGGATTCTTAATATAAAGTTAAAAATAGGATTCCATTCTTAATAGAATGGTTCAAAAATAATCTGAAAATATTTGCACCTAACAATCTCCAATCATGTGTACATCTCTAAAACTGCCAATCATGTTCCAATGGATGAGCATAAATTCTTATAGCTTAATGAAGGTTTTATGTTTTTGTATGCCAGTAGGTGATGGAAATTTCTGCATACCAGGGAACAAGAGGGCTCCAAACATCATGTCATTTCAGATAACCTGCAAGTGTAATTTTATGTTTTTCCTTGCACCTGCTTATATTTTGGTCAATGGTTCTACTTGGATTCTCCGTCAAATAAAGACCCATAACTAGGTTCTGTCACACTTATTTCTTTCCCCTTTATTTAGTCATACTTCTCGGGAATTGGTGACATATTTTGCAAAAATTTAAATGGTTGATGATTGTTCCCAGTGTAAGATATGTTTTCTTAAGGTGGCACTTTTTAACAAATTTGTCCAGATTAAGATATGTTATCTTCTCCTGTCCGATACATGTCTTGTTATTTTGCAAACTTATATGTCATTGCTGTTGCTGATTTTTCAAATCCCGTTTTTACCATTGGGCACCGTCCCTCGCGCAAAGCGCGAACCACTGCTAGTTAAAACTCTTGGATGTATATTATTTGGATATTAACCTTCCACATATCTTCAATGTCGTCATTAAATGCAATGATTTCTTCTTCACCTCCTCGGTCTAATCTCAACTTGTGAATACTAGATAGAAATAAAAAATTCATATTAATTTTTAACATATAACAATGTAGCACTAACTCATTTTATGTCTGCTAGTCTTGCCCGGTCCATGGAATTAAAACAACAGCTGTCTCACTCTAAAAAGGATCCTAATCAGTCCATGGAACATTATCTTAGGGATATTAAAGACATTGTTGATAACCTTGCCTCGATTAATGATCCCATTGCTCCTCGTGATTTATTTAAAACTATTCTCATGGGTTTGGGCCGGGACTATGAATCCCTTATTACCTCGGTTGGTTTGTTTCCGAAGAGCTTCACTTTTGAAAGATTACGCACCTGCTTAATTGAGAAGGAGAAAACTATTTAGTACATGCGTGCTATGGAAGAACCTCCGCAGGCTCAGGCGTTTGCGGGCCAAGCACAGGCTGCGGGGCACGCACAAGCAGCGGGGCAGCCACCTCCACACGGTGGCCAGCAGCACCGTGGGAGAGGTTATCGCGGCCGGGGTGGCCGCGGACAGCGGGGCAGAGGGGGGCGTGGACAGCGTGGCCGTGGCTATGCACCACCTCCTGGATATGGTTTTCCTCCACCGATGGGCTATGGTTATCCTCCTCCAGGCTGTGTTCCAGGGGGTGCACCTCATGCAGGGATTCTTGGGGCTCCAGGCTCGGCAGGTATATCTGTTCTGTCACATGTTCATACTTATGCTTTATCTGCTTATTGTGCTAACCGTGGTTATGCAGGCTCGTCATCCGGTGAGGGGAATTCAGTTCCTCCTCCTGTAGTTTGTCAGATTTGTTATGCTCCAGGTCATCCTGCCTCTACTTGTCCTTCGCGTTTTGTTCAACCGGCTGCTCCTGCTCTTGCTGCCTACGTCCCTGAAGCCTCTGACTTTGTGTGGTATCCTGACTCAGGTGCCTCTGCTCATATGACTCCTCATCCAGGTATCTTGACTAATAAAACCTTTTCTCCCAATTCTCATTCTATTATAGTGGCTAATGGTACTTCTCTCCCGGTTATGCTTACTGGTGAGGCTGTTTTAAATTCCTCAGCTCGTCCTCTTCGTCTAAAATCTGTTTTTCATGTTCCAAATATAAAATATAATCTTTTGTCCATTCGGAAATTATGTGCTGATAACAACTGTGTTGTAATTTTTGATAAAAATTGTTTTTATGTAAAGGACAAAACAACGGGGGCGGTCCTTCTTCGAGCGGTCAGTGATAATGGAGTCTATCCCGTCCGTCAGCCTGCACCTTCACCAGTTGCCCTTTGTTGGCACATAATTAAGAGCATGCCCTATATTGGCTTTGTTTTCAGCAACCCTGTGAGAGCATGTAAAGACAGAGAAGAGATTTTATCCCTACCTAAACTACCTGGTAAGTAAATAAATGCATGGATATAGAAACAAGTAGGCACCATTTTTGGATTGTGAGCTCATTTACTTACCATATGTACTTGCCCTATCGTGAAATCCATGCAACCAGGACAAACAAGTGGATAGCGCTCGCAACAGCAAGTTCAGGTATTGCTGCGTCTATTCTTCCTGGAGGCCGCACTGCCCACTCGCGCTTTAAATTACCCCTTGATGGAGAATCAAAGTACATCTGCAATATTGGCAAACAATCTTCTGAAGCAAGACTTCTTAAAGAAGCACGACTTATTTTGTGGGACGAGGCGTCTATGGCAAATCGAATGGTCGTTGAAAGTTTAGACACGACATTGAGAGACATACTAGATACTGACATTCTATTTGGGGGACGGGTTATGGTGTTTGGGGGTGATTTTAGACAAACATTGCCTGTTGTGCGCTCCGGCACAAGACATGACTTTGTTGATGCATGCTTACTGAGATCAATAACAATATGGCCACATGTTCAGAGATTGCGCCTTGTTCTAAATATGCGCGCCCATGAAGACCCTGCTTTTAGTGACTACCTGTTGCGGGTTGGCCTATAAAGAACATAATTGGGCCTACTTGTTTCTATATCCATGTTTTCAATCATGACCAGCAAATAGAGAGGAAGGTGCAGGAGACTAGAAGAGAAGGAGAACTTGGGAGGCACAAGCAGGAGAGGATTTGACAGGTGAGGAGCTGGCACTCACAATCCAAATAATGGGAGGGAGGCAGGGCGGGATACCAGGCCTGCCAGGGTATGTGAGGTGTGCTTCTCTGATGTACTCTGTTTGGGGTGAAAGAAATGGTGCCTACTTGCGCTATCCACAAGAAGCACATATGGTAAGTAAATAAATGCATGGATATAGAAACAAGTACGCACCATTTTATCCATGCACCTTATCAAAGAAAAAAATGTAGATACTGTGCAAAATATTTTCACACCTTACCTGTGTGAAACGATAGACCCTTTCAGTTGCCCTGTGAGAGCCAATATAATGCCCTTTCAGTTGCACTAGTGGGCGGCCAGCGGCCTTGCTCATCTCAAGTTTGCAAAGTCCGGTTCGAATCTGTTCATGTATTTTACTCAATTTTGGAATAATATACTATTTTCATTTGTTTTATATTACGGAGTATCATTTATTAACAAATACTAATTCAGTGATTCACCGCACTCTAATCCGTGAATTGCATAAACAAAATTGACTAGGTTTCAAGCAGTCGAGGTTTACTCAATAAATCTCTATTGCTCTGGATTTTTTTTCTTCTTCATAAATTTAAATTCCTACCAACGAGTTTTCTCCTATAGTTTAGCCAAGTATAAAATAAGTATATGTGAGCTCATTTATTCACTACTCTTCATCTCATACGAGTATATCAGTATATGATTTTGCATTTTTTGCTCTCATTTGATCCAATAATTGGTTAATTTTGTTTATAAGTTATCAATTAATTTAATAAGTAATGAAATGAAAAAAAATAATAACTAGCTCGACCTGTAGTGAAATTGAATTATTATTATTAATTAATAAGAATTTATTAATACTTATATTAGTTATATAAACTGTTAAAGACTGTGTATTTGTGTGTAGTTAACTAGTTTATATGCTAATACTTGTATTATATTCTCGCCCCCCTCAATACAAAAGTCTGGCTCCGCCCCTGTCATCATATAATTTTAAGCACAATGTTTTTGCTATTCGTTTAATAGGAACCCTTTTCATATGGAATTAAATTTTGAATTACAATTGCAAGGACCATTTTTATTACAGCACTTGATGTTGTTCTCTGCAATTATCAATTGATTCATATTAAATTAAAATTACTATGACCAAGTTTTACGATTTTTTTTTTGAAAGGGGTTTTATGCAAATATTGGAAAAATCAAAGTATAATTTTGACTAGCAACCATTTCCATATTAATTTTAAATCAAAGTTTAAAAACGAGTTAAATGCAATGATTTCTTCTTAAAACATATCAAAATATATTTTTACCAAAATGGTAAAAATATACATCCAGGAAATTCATATCTTCAATGTTGTCATTAAATAATATACATTCAAGGTTAGTATCCACCTCCACATCGGCCTTGCTCTTCGTAAAACATATCAAAATATATTTTTACCATTTTGGAAAAAAAGATCCAGGAAATTTTAAAAAAAAAGTGGGCTTGTCTTATCAATGCTAAAAGTTTCACACCAGGTATGACTTTCACTTCAATTCCTCATTGTAGTGGAGAGTCCAGCTCTTCCCCGCCCGCCCAAATACCTATTCACCAAAATGTATGTAACTGGTATCAAAACCGACTCCAGTTGGTATAAATGTAACCTACTGTAAATGCCAAAAAAGAAAAAAGTGCTCACCAAGGGAAACCTTCCTTTTAAACTCACAACGGTGGCCCCAACTTCAGCAAAACTAAGAAGCAACTCATGAATTACTTGCAAAACCTCAAATGTTGACTCAAAGCTTTCTACTTACTGTGACCGCTCTTGTTTGCACATAAATTAGTTCCACCCGATTCTGAAATTCATTATATTCACTCAAGAAGAAGAACAAAACCAGTTCATAGAGCTAACCCGTGTTCTGTTGTGGTAACCGGCAGTTTTGCTAACACAGCGAAGCCTGACATGGGGACCCACCAGGTTGAGCACATCATCGGAAACCAATCTATCAAATGAAAATGACTATCAAACCAGGTTGAGATTTTTTTTAATTCTAATTCAAATTGGTCATTTATTTTAGCGTGAATAAGTTAGATTTAACATACATACGAAGTATTTGATAAGAAAGCAAGTAAATTAGGCAAAGTCAAATACCAGATTCTGATAAGTCTTTTTTTACTTTCTCACCGCAGCCATGCATAATGGCTCCCTAAAAAAACAGTTTTCTAGCTAAAGTTTTGGGGGAAAGTAGTGATGTGGCTTCAAAAGTGATTGAGGTAAAAATAATATGGAAATTTTTACGTAATAAATGTGCAATGTGTTCCAAAAATGCAAACATTAGAAACGAAGCAGCAAATTTGAACTACGCAAGTAAATTAAGCCAATAGCAAATTCCAGATTGTAATTAGTCCTTTGTTATCAATAATTTATTACTGAGTAGTGAGAATAAGGCATATTTAACATACTACATGAGAAGAATGCAAGTAAAAAAGGCTATGAGAAAATATGAGATGCTAATTAATTTTTTTTCTTTTCACTCAGAAGACAACATAAATATTCTCTCAGAAAAAACTTTTATGATCTCTATCTATCTCAGTATTTTGGAAAAAATATCAATGTGGCTTCAAATGTGATTAAGGTACAAAAAATATGGCAAATTCAATGACAAAATGAGAAAAATGTTACAACTTGCAAACATTAGAAACAAAGATGGAGTTTGACTAAGCATGT